GGTTGCATTTAGACTTAATGTTCTGCCAATTAAACAGCAAATTGCCTTACAAATTTATGCTGCTTTTTTACAAATGTTCTTAATTAAATTAATTTTTCAGCGCCTTAATGGACTTTTCGTTTACGCCAATTTGTATGGTCATTTGCGGGGCCATTTATTTTCATAGTATTTGTCTAGTTTTCAGTTGGAAAAAAGTAGTTATTTTATTTTGCAGACTTTTTTGTTGCTGTATTGGTGATATTTTTGCATATGTACATATATTTTAATGTGATGCGGGAAGGGTAGGGTTTTAGAAACTAGCATTTCTCTCTATGGTGTCAACAGCACTTAATACATTTTCAAAAATAATAATTCATGCAATTTTTTATCAGTGACGAAGAATTTCTAAATCTATAAGTMTTTACTTTAATTTCTTTACAAATAATTTTATCGGGATGGCAGCTCTTTTGAAAAAATATTTTCAAAAGTCATCTATYTTAAACACATACAGCTCGAGCTCAAATTGTAATATTTTATACATACATATTAATAATTTGAATAAAAATATTTTAAACAGGTGGCAACACTTCTGCACATATTTAATTTAGCTTATTTTATTTGCAAGTGCAATATAGAATTGCAAAATTTCTAGCTCATACGTAATGTTTCAATAAAAATGTTTTAAATAGGTGGCAACCCTTCTTAACTGTATTTTTGCCTGTCTTTATAGCCGTGTTTTGTTTTAGAATTCAATATGGCTTTGCTTAATTTTTAACTTGTATATTTCATTTTAATATAAATAYTTTGAACAGGTGGCAACCCTTTCYAAAYATATGTTCACCTGTCTTCTTACGTGCACTTTTTTGGAGAATTCAMTATACCATTGTAAAATTTTTAAKTTTTAGRTTTTTAATGTTTTAAATTTTCAAATAGKTGGCTACTCTGTAATCGGAATAGATTTCCTCTCTCTGCTAAAATATGACCAGCGAAACATTTGCTTTAAAAATGTCTAGTGATACTTTTGCCTGTGATAACAGAAACAAACTTCATTTGAAAGAAATTCTTCTTAGATTTTCCAACAAATTTTCAAGTTCTTTTGGGATCTAAACTAAAATTTAGTTCAATATGCCTGCATACTCCAAATGGCATACATTATAGGTATGATTTTCACAAGGCTTTCTAAAAAATAATATGATCCCTCCTTAGTAAGGCCAAAAGGCATCCTCATTGAATAATGGAAAGATATGCTTTCCAGGAAAGACTCTAAAAAAAAGCAAGGAGAATTGTACCACAAGCAGTCCTAAAAACGGACGGAATTATTCTAGATATATTTCTACAGATTTCAGCTCCAATTTCTTCGATATGTTATTTCCTATATCACGGAACAAACACTATTCCCATACCTGGACTGAAATTATTCTCCAAGAATAATTGAAAATAACCTTTCTACATAGACAAAGAAGTGAAATGTATTCCGTACACTTAGAAAAAATCTCCAACAAAATTCTCTTCGCGACAGATATACAAGTCCACTAAAGAAAACAACTCGCCAAATAACAATAGTAGCAACAGCAAGAGAATTAACTACAACACAACACAACTTCCTCAGGTTGAAGAACAAATATTCGTGATACCTGATAAGGATCAATTCAACTCAGCCAACAACTGTGAAACCGTACTTGTAAGGTGGGCTACAAGGGTGTATTACGGGTGTCTCAAGAAGCGGAAAGGTGATCAAAAACGCGTTACAAGCCCAAAAAAGGAAATGCGTAAACGAACAGACATGAAAAGTAACAAATGTGACCACACAAAAAAATTGGCGGCTAGAATGCTGCTAGAAAACAGAAACGCCGCTAATACCAAAGCCAAGTTCATTACTATTTCGCTTGCAAATGTTTTTTCTTTTTTTTGTTTTTGGTTTGTCCGACATAAAGAAAAAGTAAATAAATATTATCGACGTATTTGTTGTTTGTGCCGCGACATTGTGACAATTAATGGAAAAAACTCGACACCCCCTCAACAGGGCGCACCGTAAGCGTTAAACGGCACCTGACAATGGCGACGCGGCATTTGCAAGTGAACTGCAAGTAAATAGAAGTACTCAAGACTAAATAAATTGAATTATATGCAGCTGRAAAAAGTTGCCAAAAGAAGTAATTTAAATATACCAAAGTAGTTAGCGGAGTTCGTTTTTTTTTTCTTTTTGCCTGTCAAGTTAGCTTAATTCTTTTCAGCGTTTTGTTTTTTTGTTTTCYCTGTGTTGTCAGCTGCTGGTTTGCACTCGGTGCGAATTATAATCGTTAGCTGTTTAATTGCACTGGCTCTTGTTTGACAAGTTCGTGTCTTAAGTCTATTGTTTGCGTTAAGTAAACAGGTACTTGAGTTGCGGGTATTATTGCGGGTGGAGCTTGATTAGAGCAATTGTACTTGTGAAAAAAATGGGCAGCAATCTTGCATTAATTGAAAAAAATACTTTTGATATATCTTTTTAAATAAATTATTATGAATTAAGTGAAAAAATAAAAATAAGAAGTAATAAAGAAAATTATAGACAAGGAACAACACTAAATATTCATTTATAAGCGATTTGCTAATATTTGAATTAATGTTTTTGATTTGATTTGAAACTSTAAGTAGGTGGCAACCCTCTCAGTTTATTTTAAAATTTTCATAAAATTTTATTGCAATGACAATTTCTAATCTATAAGAAAAACTTTTTTAATACATAATTTTATCTAGGTGGCAACTTTTTTCATACAAATATTTTCATAAAATTTGATTGCAATGACGAAAAGTTTCTAAATCTATGAGTAAATAAGTTTTTTAGTAACATTTTTAAACAGGTGGCAGCTCTCTTCACAAAAATATTTTCATAAGATTTGATTGCAATGACGAAAAGTTTCTAAATCTAGAAGTAAATAAGTTTTTTAGTAACATTTTTAATTCAGGTGGCAACTCTCTTCACAAAAACATTTTCATAAAATTTGATTGCAATGACGAAAAGTTTCTAAATCTATAAGTAAATATGTTTTCAATACTCAATTTTATCTGGATGGCAACTCTCTTMTCACAAATATTCTCATAAAATTTGATTTCAATGACGAAGAGTTTTTTAATCTGTAAATAAATATTTTTGGTTTAATAAAGAGTTTTATCTGGGTGGCAACTCTTTTCACAAAAATATTTTCATAAAACTTGATTCCAAAACGAAAAGTTTCTAAAGCTATAAGTAAATATTCTTTTGAATAAAGAATTTTAGTTAAGTGGCAACTGTTCTCACAAAAATATTTTGAAAAGTAGTTTTTCTTACAAACAAACAGCTGAAAGTAAAATTATTATATTTCATGAATTTGAATAAAAATATTTTAAACAGGTGGTAACCCTTTATAACTATGTATGCATCTATTTTCTTATTGTTTTATTTTCAGAAAAATTTCCTGCATTATTTAAGGAAAATTTGGTGAGTSGAATTGAAATTTGAGTCATTAATTCGTATTTTATTTACCTTTAATACTCAAATACAAAGTAACCTGGCATGATATATTCCTATAATTAATAAAAATTAAAGAAATCCTCATGTGTTCCAATCAGACTACTATTCTTTTTTTTTTCATTTCTGCAAAAAGTATTATGCTGAAGGAGAAAAAATATGAAATCCGAAAATATTTTTTATTGCCGTCTCTTGCGATCAATATTTTACTGCTTTTGTACCGAAAAGCAAAAATATTGCGTATTAAGCTAACAGCTTAAAAATTATTGACTTCACCGTAATATTACCACTAATTTGCTTCATGCCTCAAAGTGTCTGCGCGACACTTATCGCAATGCTATTAACCCAAATCAGTTTAAAATCCCTTACACTTGGACCAAAGCGRCCATTCGCACGCACACACATACATATACACAAACTGTCATATATATACACACATACAAACAAGCTATCACGCATACACTTGCATTTGCAGCCATGGAAACACTGATTCCTATCACTCAACTTACATAAGTAGCATTGTGTCGACGAATTAGCTCAGCTGGCAAATTACATTTCTAGYATTTCGGTGAATTATTGTACACAAAATTATCTACATCATAATTACCAGCGTTACGTTTGACCACAGACACAAGGCAAAAGGCATCAGCCACAAATAGCAAACGAGTTAAAAAAAACTTCAAAAAAAAAAAAAAAGAAAAAAAAAATTGCATGGAACAAAGGCGCCTAACAAAAGCCAAACAAGTGATTCATAAAAATATTTATCATTTAACTCACACACATACACATACCGCCACATAAGCAATTGTGTTTGTCACAGCATCTCGCGTGCCGCGGCGCTATCGCTACGGCAGTTGAGAAAAATCGCATGCGATTTATGACGCTAATAAATTGCAAACAAAATGCAAATAGTTGCTAAACTTTGSGCAAAACGTTCAATAAATAAACAAATAAATATGATTTTCGGGCAAAAATTAAATTTTGCTGGTCAGCGCAAGATTTCGTAAAATTGTTTTTTCTTTTCTTCCATGCAATTCTTTTCATTTAACTTTAAGTGCGCGTAATTGTGCGCTTATATCCGTTTATAATGCCCAGCGTTTGGCATAATTTCTGTGGGTAAGTTCACAGCTGCCCACGCGCCAACACTTGGCGTCAGCGGCGGCGGCGTTCTTTGCTGTCGCTTTATTGTGTCAATGACTGGGYGCACACCGGCGGCACGTTCGACGTTTGCATTGGTGGCGCCGCGGCGCGCGCTTTGTTCCGGACGTAGCGTTTTCCTATAGTAGCCGCGTACTCGCGTTCTTAATGCGATTCGAATTGTGTGTTAAATAGAATTACATAAAAATTTGTACAGCTTGGGGCATGGCAAAATATTATTTGATTTGTTGTTAAAAAAGGAARGATTTTTTTTTTACTTTTAAATATATTTTTCGTAAAATTGTCAATACGATTGATTTCACGCTGATTTATATAATTTCTAAAAACATTTCTGAGTTAGTTTCAATATTCTTCCTAAAATCAGTTGCCTTGYCGAATTTCAATACATCAAGTGTAGCTTTAGAAATTTTAAATCCCACAAAGCCTGTTCTGTTATCGTTATATAATCTTTACTGATACTTTACATAAACATTTGGTTGATAGATTGATATCGCTTGTTTTTGCATTACCAATAATCAATACATACTACATTTTAAGCAGTCCTTCTCTAAATAATATTGTTTAATTTTTACATTACTAGTAATCAAATAAGTAATCATTACAAATTCTTTACACTACTAGTAATCATATATGTAAACATTACTATTTCTCAAATATGTAATCAATATACAAATTTTAAACAATTCTTTCTTTTATATTACCAGTAATCAAATATGTACTCATTACTGATACTTTAAATATTTGCTCAAATTAGAATACTTTTCGATTATAATTTTTTTTTCATTAGTCATCAAATATGTAATCATTACTATATTTTGCATATTTCGTATGAATATCTCTTACTTAACGCTTATCATTAGCAGTAATCGATCGCTTGTCTTCAAGGTAATAGTAATCATATAYATAAKCATTACTAGTTATCAAATAAGTAATCAATACCCATATTTCACACAATTTCCTAAATTTACGAACCATAGTTCGGTTATTACTTATTTTTTACACTACTAGTAATCAAAAAAGGAATCATTACTGATTCACTTAACGTGTATCATTACCAGTAATTAGCTAAGTAATCGTTACTGACACTTTTTGAATTACCGCTTATTTTTCAATAATAGTAATCATATATATAATCATTACTAGTTATCAAATATGTAATCAATACTCATATTTTACACAATATTTCCTAAAAAGATTATTCGGTTATTATTTTTTGGATTACCAGTAATCAAGTATGTAATGATTACTGATGCTTTACATAATTCCTATGGCTTAACTTTTATTATTGCGTTTGTAGCAATTACTCTTTTTTGATTCACAAACAAAAATGTTGCTCGAAATTGCAGAAACTGCTAAACAACCCAAAAAACCTGCAATCTATTTCTGCAACTTTTTAAGAAAGTATAAAATCTATGTATTGACAGGGTCTACCTCAGCAACTTTTTCTCCCAAACAACTTTATATAGCATAACACCACACACTCCTAGGCACATCATGATAAAGCAGAATCTCTACAACAAAACTCACAGACATACTAACCGCTAACTGGCAGCTCAATCTACTGTTTTCGCTACTGTTGCTGCCTGCTAATGATGCTGCCACTCGCCACTACTGTTTACCTTTGGCGCTGAGGGTGTTATTACCGCGCGCCTCGCACGACGCTACGCATGCGCACGACACACTCACACACACGCACTCGAACCAACATTATAAATAGGCGTATAAATTAGCACGAAAGTACGCAGCTATCAGGGGACACTTTTATTTCTCCATTTAACAACAAAGTGACCGACTTGACGACAGGTTGTTACACTACAACTTTGCCGCACGGCATGGTATTCGCCGTCGTCTGTGCGACGCGTCGCCTGTCTGTCGTGCTTCTATCCATTTCGTATCTTAATTGACGTGCACATTGCACTATCGCATTTAAAATGCATTCATCCTTTACCGCCAGATCCTGCYACATGCCACTTGCCATGGTTTTATAGTTGTTTTTCCGCAACTTTGATTTATATGCTCGAGTGTTGACGACCAGGCTCTTAGCTAATTTTTTAACATGTTTCTATAATGGAATCAYTTAGACAACGCTGAGGTGTTGCATTTTCAAGCTGATTGGCGGCGCTAGTGCATATGAAGTGTCACTTGCAATGAGTGGCATAGCAATGTGTTAAGCTTGTGTAGCTTGTTCCATTATATTCATATCTATTTAGTAATATTTGCTGATTGTTTTTGCAATATGCTAAGTGAAAGCCGTTTGCTTTGACGGTTTTGTTGATTAGTGCTTCTGTGACAGGTTGCTCTCGTTACCATTTGTAGGTGACTTTTATCGGTTCGTTTTGAGATTACGGTTAAATTTAGAAGTACTGTTAACTGAAATTTGGTTTGTTCGCTTATTATTTAATCACAGAATATGGATCCCACATAATATTTGGAAATCGAAAAGGTCTTTTCGTATTTTGTCAATAGATGTCGTTGCGGTCGTRTACCTCATATTGTGTCATACCATATAGTATATGAGTAATAGCAGTAATAAAAGCAAAGTTAAGTATTTTAAAAAGCCTTTGAATTCACGGTACTTCATATAGGGACGATGAGAGAGGAAGGCGACACCATATAATTTGTAAACAATTAACTCAAATATSAATATAGTATAATGGAAATTCTGAAAAGTCTAAATGAATTTCGATCTAAATAATCAGTTGAGAACTTAGTGAATAAAGGTTCTTGAGTTTACTTTTGGTCCATCGCATGGCCGTAAAATKGCAAATCCAAATAAAATATGGAACYWAAGCTAAAACTTGTTGAATTTACCATCACCATATCTCCAAGTYCATAACGAAGTGTGTGGAAAAAACTGAACTCCCAAAAAACTAAATGCCGAATCAGAAAATAAAGCGAAGGAAGACAGTTTTGAAAAACCAATGCTCAATCTTATGTTATACGGAGAATATAACGTAGTATACCGCTAAAAAAATGTGCTCTACAGATGAGGTGAATACCGGATTACCGAAATATATAATATTAAGCGTAAAGAATTATTAAGAAAATTCACCACACACTTGTTTTAAGTCTCAGTTGAGATAGGGCTCATGGCGCGCTTCTTGAAGATTATTTTMTACTTACGAAATTAGGAAAAAGCACAGACTGCCAAATCTGCCGAATACTTTTCGTGTTTGGCCGAARGGAGAGTAACAAGAACTGCTGGAAAGTGGGACGAACTATAGTGTTGAAAAGCCCACGATTTATCTGGTCGAATTGCTTCACACCTAGACATTTCAGAATGATCAAGTTGTATTCCTTATTGACAGTTTGACCGAGGGCAATGATTTTAAGGTGAACCACATCAGGTTGGACCAAGGAGTTAGAGCATCCCCTTAATTTTTGACCGACGTAGACGGAGTTTTCAATTTCAGATAGTCATCAATAATGTTATGTTTGAATAATGAGCATTCAGCTGCAAATCYAGCATATCTTTTGCGAGGTTTTCTCTAAGCCATTTTTGATAAAGATTAAGTTGTTTATTTCGGTCAGGTATTACTCTAACACGCTTCATATCCAAAGTAATAAGTAAAATATATTTGGTCAATTCTTAAGAGATGTTGGTAACCGCTGCCATCTCTTTGAAGCCAACAATACGGGTTTCAAACACCACTTCTTTAACTTCTTCGATGTTCGACTCGAAAGAGGTAAGTTTTCGCTGACTGACTAACAAATAGTGAGTTTGGTTAAGTGGCCAGGGAAGTGGTAAGAATCATACTTTGATAACTGGGTAGAGTAAAGTAAAGAGTTTGAGGATAATTTTACAAGGCTTC